TGCAGAAGTGAAATCTTCATTACGATCTCGTACCTGCAAAACACAGTTGTTTGAATTTCGATAGCCAAAAACCCGTGTGTTATATCTAAAGATAGTAAGAAGATCCTCTTCTTTTTTCAGCGTAAAGGCATTTCACTAAGAAATCAAACAGAAAATCAAAACGAAAGATGAAATTTTGAAAAGGCTTGAATTAGATTTGAAAACAGCACCCACCTCATTCTGTCCGGCAGCGAAATGAGAACATACAAAACACATACTGGTCGAATGTACAACCATTCGAAAAGCAACGGAACCCTAAATTATAACCATGAACTCATCTCCCGTAAGTGGACAATCTTCAAGAAATTTGCACCTTATTGCCGGTTGTTCCTCCCATACCCGTTTTTATAGAAGTAACAGCAAAATCTTTTATAAAAGGGGCCAAATGTGATCGTGCAAAGATAAATAAGCATACGCCGACCTAAAAAAGTAGATAAAGATGAACGCAAGTCTAAAATGGGCAATCATACCAATTGTTCAACAACAAGAAGTACATAAGAGCCATGTTCATGAAGCACCCGTCGTATTCCTTCTAGCCATAAACGTTGATTTGTTGTGCTAAAAATGGAAAATTCATACGGAAACTACCTTGGGAAAAATGGACGCAGGCCCTTTTGCACCAGATACCGTAATCCGCGCAGCTTTTGTACGATAAGATTACCAGGCGAAAGATTTCGAAGCGCATTGTCCAAACAAATTCCAGTAAGAGGAATTATGGCAACATAAAAGACATTTTTGTCGCGTCCCATTTTGCGCATCGCATAGAGTACCATGCTGTAGCGGTGCGAAAAGGGCCCTCTTACAAAAATGCCTTCAACATGGTATTCTACGGGTTCGATTTTTTTGATCACTGATCGCGTCTAAATTTCAAATAAATGTGAGTATTTTATACCTAGCCTTCATGAGATTTGACGCATTGAGATCCACTAATTCTTCCACACCGATGGCTACAATCTCGGTAGAGTCATCTATATTATCCACAGATACTGTAAAACATTTCTTTTCCAAATACCCTCAAAAGCTCGCTCCGCCTACCTAGGGTCCCATTTGGAAATATCCAATCTGCCATATTAGACTGATTACGAAAAGCAATGTTATACATATTCTTGCCTCCATTAACGTTCCATGTGCCTAAATTGGACAGTAATAAAAAGTGTTTCTAAGCAGTAGAGCTTTACTTACCAATAAAAATTTTCATGGGATTCGCGGTAGTAACTTCGTTTCTTCGGCTAAGCACATGTTCCACAGCATCTTCACATTCTGCAAATTATTTTCCTCCATTTCTTCTCCAGAAACTAACACAGAAATTAGATTCAGAAGCACCAACTCACCGAAAAAGTAGTAGTCATCTGAAAAAATAAAATAACTTCATAGCGCAAACAAAGCCACAATTAGATTTACCTCGTAGAATAGGAAGCGGTAACAAATTAGCTACCCTATCAAAACTTCGTTTATCGTACCAGGCTCCTCGAAGAAAGAGATCAAATGACTCCTGCTTTGAACTGTCCATAAGATTATTTTGTATAGTCCGAGCAATTGAACGTGAGGCATCTTTGAACTGAAATAACAGCTTTTCTATAGATTCCTCCAAAAAAACTATGAGAACATTCGCACCTTGCTCTTTCCTTCTAGTGCTCCCGTTCCAGCATAGATGTTACTACAAAGATCACCATTTTTCTGCCAGAGGTCCCGTAAAATCTCTTCAATTCGTTGGGAAACATTCACTTTGCCAGATTCTAAGTTAAGCGAAGCAACTTGATCTCGGCCAACCTGGAAAATAATTATGTATAAGATTTACATGACAGCTTCAATATCAATCTTCGCTAATATGATAGAGTAGATAATCTAATACCCCCATTATTTTAATTCCGACTTCATTTTTGGAAATAAGGTTTTTTTCAAAACAGTACCTTTTAGTACCTTTTTGGATCAATAAATCGGAATACTTTGCTTGTTAATTTCTAAATTCTGATTGGTCAATAAGAATTTTGACTTCACTCCGCCCTTGACACGACCCTTCTGACCATAATTTTCCAGTCAGGTAACCCTGGTGATCAAAGAGAATATCCACTTACCAATAAACCAACGGCTGTCTGCACAGAATTAGTCCGATCTAGGCAATCTAAGCAATTAACCCGTAAAACACCGCTTTGTTCGCTAAAAGAAAGAGATTTCCATCACCGTTATAAAGAAAGAAAAAGTGTTTTAGAGTCTTACCTCCTAACGTTTCCATCCTTGTATAGATAAAACGATGCTGATTGAGTAAATGGTGCAAGTCTCTTGATTAGTCTGACTAGAGATTCCTTAGAGATTTTCATTTGTGAGTGATAATCAAAATCTATAAATTCCACAGTGTCAGCGAATTTGGAACTTTTGTGTTGCGCCTGGAATATTTCACAGTTTGGTAAATAAGTGAAAAGTCTAGAAAAAA